TCCTCCTTCCCTCCCTCCTTCCCACCTTTATCAGTCTAACTAAAGATTTGTCAATTTTGTAAAACTTTTCAAACTGAAAATATTTCATAAATGAATTATAGTGCAAGATAGTAATAGTATAATAGTAATAACTTAATACTTAAATTATTATATTGATATCTTAAAATTGTAGAGCAATGAGAAAAAATAGAAAAGCCAGTGTATTAAAATTTTTTTGCCAATGTTTTATTTTTTGTGTTAGAAAAATTTTAAGATAAAGTTTACATACCATTAAATGCCCAGATCATGAGTAACAATAAGTTTTAACCAGTGGATAGCCCCATATACAAATACCCAGTCCAGAAATAGAACGTCTGCATTAGCGTGAGTCTAATATATTGGTCATGGTCTGTCCCTGCTATCCTTTTAAGAGGATTGAGATACTGCTTAAGTGTAAAATGCCTTTGTCCTTTGCAGCTACTATAAAAACAGCAACAAAATCTCAACTTTTTTGGATCTATTAAGGATGGTTATTATGGCAGCCAGTGACTTAATTGATGTGTGGTAGTACTGGCTTAGGAAACACAGGCCAAAATTATAAAAAGTCCTTGAGGCAGCTAATGTTTAGAGTTTTCTAATATAATTCTATAACTAGTACTAGTAGTACCTAGTTACTGTATATTAGGTGGGATATTCTAAAAACCTAATTAATCAGTAAAAGTTTACAAAAAAATTATCTTTCTTTAACTGGCCTCTTGTTTCTGGTTGTCCAAATACCTATAGTACATGTTTTAAATATCTCTGGAGGTGAACATCTCCTCTGCTCCTGTCCAGTTTCCTGCTAATGCATCCTGGGAGGCAGCAAATGGTGGCTCAAGTGCTTGGGCCTTTGACACCCATGTGGGAGACCCAGATGGAGTGTCAGGCTCCTGGTTTCAGCCTGACCCAGCCCTGGCTGTAGGAGGTATTTGGGGAGTGAACCAATACATGGAAGATTGTCTCTCTCTCTCTCTCTTTCCCTCTCTCTCATCTCTTTGCCTTTCAGATGGAAAGTACATAAGTAAACATTTTTCAGAAAATGTTTCTGTGGGGGCTGGCTTTGTGGCACAGTAGGTTAAGCCACTGCCTGCAACACCAGCATCCCAGGTGAGCACTGATTTGAGTCCCTGCTGCTCTACTTCTGATTCAGCTCCCTGCTGATGTGCCTGGCAAGGCAGCAGAAGATGGGCCAAGCACTTGGGACCTTGCCACCAACGTGTGAGACCTGGATGGATTTCTAGGCTTCAGGCTTCAGCCAGGCATGGCCCAGCCCCAGCTGTTGCAGCTATTTGGAGAGTGAACCTGCAGATGGAAGATCTGTCTTTTTGTCTCTCCCTTTCTCTCACTCTGTAACTCTGTGATTGTCAAATAAATAAATAAATCTTTAAAAAAATTTTTTTTAATGTTTCTGTGTTGGGGCCAGTGCTGTGGCGTAGTGGGTAAAGCCACCGCGTCCCCATATGGAAACTGGTTCTAGTCCCAACTGTTCCACTTCCAGTCGAGCTCCCTGGGAAAGCAGCAGAGGATGGCCCAGGTCCTTGGGCTCCTGCACCCAAGTGGGTGACTCGGAAGAGGTTTCTGGCTCCTAGCTTCAGATCCATCCAGCTCTGGCCATTGCAGCCATTTAGGGAGTAAACCAGTGGACGGAAGCTTGCTCGATCGCTCTCTCTCTGCCTCTCTGTAACTCTGCTTTTCAAATAAATAAATCTTTAAAAAAAAAAGTTTCTGTGACAGTGTAGGTTATTAGCTCATAATAATAATGATCCTTCACATCCCACATTTCATTCTGAAGGAACCCTTAGTTAGTACTTTTTACATGGTTTATAATAGGTTAAAAAATCAATAAAATACAAGAATCTATTTTGTAGAATATGTTTTAAACAAGATGACAAAGCTACAATTTGTGAAATATATTGAAAGAGAATGTCATACCTATTTGAAATTATAGAGAGAACATTGGTTTTTATTTTCTGTTTTAGGCAGAAAAATCAGTGCTGAAATTTTGCTTTTGCTAATGTATATAGTGGGACCTCCTTACAAAAAGTACAGTGGTGTTTGGACTGACTGCAGACAGAACCTTAATACATGGCAATTATTTTTGTTCAGTAGTGGTGTTAATTAAGGAGTCTTTATGAGAAGCAATTGTAAATTATTATAGAAATGATCATGATCTCTATATCCTTTCATTCCATTTACATTCTGAATCCTTTCCTAGACAAATCTGTTCATCTCAGTTCCTCTGATTTTCTAGAATCACCCATGTTGAGTAGAAAGAATGCTGACTTTTCAATTTGTAGCTCAGTCTTCTCTCAAATCCCAATCTAAAGAACTCTTTCTGTTGTAAGAGACTAATGTGTAGGACAAGTTCTTCAAAGTTAAGGGCATGGCAGAATAGAGGTTCTTAGATGGATTTTAGATTACTTTTTTCTTTAGGCATCTTCAGAAATGAAAAGTTAGATACTTGGAAAAATCTTGAGGGAAAAAAAAACTTAGGGAAGTAAAAGTGTGCCTTTTTGTGTTTACCAGTAAGACAGCTATGTAAAAATGTGTTATATACAAAAGAATATTTAATGAGGTAGAAGGAAACAGTAGATTTTCAGTTTGCTCTCCATGTAGTTGTAGACAGACATATTTCCTTCTAATCAACACAAATGACCAAAAACAGGAGATACTTTATTATTTTTAAAGTTAGGCATACACACACATACCACAGTTATTTTCTGAAAGCTAGGAAATTGTTCTCAGGGAGAAATGTGTCATCTAAGTTGCAATGTTTAGATACTTGGCAATTGGATAAAATAATTGGATAAAATAGGAGAACAGATTGACATAAATGTACATTAGGGTAGTGACTTTCATTCCTGTACATACACAGTGAAATAGTTCTGGGCAATAAATTCTTGGGAAAGTAGAGTAGGGATTTGGATAAATGTCATAGTTTGTGACTTAATACATATAAACAGGTGAAAACTCAAGATGGAGAGGTAATAGTAACCACCTGATAAAGAGACTTACAACTCTTTCACACTGCAGGAAAGATTGCTTTAGAGTTATAACTTGATATTATAGGTTGACTTTTTAAAAAGGTATTGGTTACATTTGTGGCTGCTGTGGATAATAAAACAAGAAAGAAATGACTTTTATTCTCCAATACAAAGAAATCTTTACCATTTAAAATCTTTGTGATGCTGTAGATTCTGAAACTAACACCAAAATTACCTAAAAAGGTGACAGCCACTATTTCTGCCATAGGTGTCTTAAAAATACAGAATAATTGACCATACAGAATTAGGTAACTCTTTCAAGTTAGCTACCACGCTAAAGTTTAGTTCTACAATGTTGGCAACATATGAGCCTTCTGTTATCCCCAAATCTATCCTCTGTCATCTGTTCCACTTCCAGATTGAAGGTTTCTCAATGCCTTTTATTTCACTTATCTGTCAGCCCTCCCTCTTTCAACAATCCTTTGACAAATTACTGCAGCCCACCTTGATTTCCCATTTCTCTGGATCTCTGTAACATGCATACTAATTTAAGACCTTTTCTCTACTGTTTATTGGTAGACACTCCTTATGCCAGGAAAGTTGTTGTAGTATACATTAGTAATGTATGCTAATGTATACATAAGTTAGCGATGCTGGGGTGATCAGTAAGCATTATGAAAAGCAAGTTTTGCCGGCGCCGTGGCTCAATAGGCTAATCCTCCACCTTGCGGCGCTGGCACACCGGGTTCTAGTCCCGGTCGGGGCGCCGGATTCTGTCCCGGTTGCCCCTCTTCCAGGCCAGCTCTCTGCTATGGCCAGGGAGTGCAGTGGAGGATGGCCCAGGTGCTTGGGCCCTGCACCCCATGGGAGACCAGGAAAAAGCACCTGGATCCTGGCTCCTGCCATCGGATCAGCGCGGTGCGCCGGCTGCAGCGGCGGCCATTGGAGGGTCAACCAACGGCAAGGGAAGACCTTTCTCTCTCTGTCTCTCTCTCTCACTGTCCACTCTGCCTATCAAAAAAAAAAAAAAAAAAAAATTAAAAAAAAAAAAGAAAAGCAAGTTTTAGAAGAATTCCAGAGCACAAACAGTAGTGTGATAATGAGTGTTTGGAGGAAGTGAATTATGAGTGGGGACCTAAATCAAAGAAAGAATAGGTCTTGGGGAAGGTAAGAAAGAGAACATTCTAAGATCACAGAATGATGTGCAAACCAAATGTTCTTAGTCTACCTAGTGACTTAAATGTTAGATGAATGAACCAATGAACAAATGAGTCCATTCTGAGAGGGGCAGTAGGACAGAGTTTACTGTACTCTTCCTTTTAGGTCATTCATTCCCCACATGTTTTTAAATTTACTAGGATACAGTGATAAAAAATGGTATTTCCAGAAGCAAATTCTAATAGGGAAGACACAAATGTAAAAAATACACAAAATATGTTACCTGTTAAGAGGTTGCACACCACCCATGAAGTGCAAAGGAGGAAGCTGCAGAGAGGAGTTGTGTAGAATAGAATGGTTTCTCAAAGGCCTTAAATGTCAAAATCAATTATTTGAACATTGTTTTTGTTATCATTAAGGCCAGATCCTGTGTCAGAGCACTGTGTGAATAGCTTTTATCCTTCCTAGGATTTCTTAATGAGTCTTCCTAATGGGCAGAGAGTTTTCCTGGATTGGCCCCATAATTATACTGCAAATTCTGCTGAAAGCAAAAGTGAGGTTGTGATTGGGAGAGTCAGCCAAATCTAAACTTATTGGGAAGTACCTCTCTGAAGGTAGTAACACTGTAATGTTAAAATTTCACGAATATCTAATGAGATGGCCTGATTATTGTAAAGACTTGAAATATCTACCTACTTTGAAAGAATAATGTTCGTTTTAGGGTGGTAGTTGAATATATTTAAAAAGAAAGAAGAAAGAAATGAATATTGTTTTGAAATTTTCTGAGTCTTTAAAGGTATTTTCAAAGTATTTCTTTCCCAAATTAATATTTATTTTCAGTCATCTGAGCCTGCAAAAGTCACAAGGATTGCAACTTATTCGCCAACAACCGGAACTTGTCAGATGAGCCCATTTACTTCTCCGACAAGCTCTAAAGAAGGAGAGCACAGAAATGGACCATCAAATGGTTAGTTTAACATTCTTTTCCACTTATTTTAAGATTTTTCTAGTTATTGGTGTATCAAAATTTTGATTTAGTAATATATAGATCTTGTTACAGCTGAATTTTCTCTCAAAGAATTTAGCATAGAAAAGGTTACAATGTAACTGTTACTTTGGACATAAATGTAAACTTTCTTGGCATTACTTTAAAATTCTATGGCAGACTTTGTTCCCTTACTGTCCCATCCATTAAATAGAAATTATGACCTGACTGCCTTCAGCTACTATCAGTTACAGTGGTTACAGATATGCCCCTTAACAAGCTATCTGTCATGAGCATAAATTAAAGGGCACATAACTCATTTATTGCTGTACTACATTGAAGGGGGAAACTTACAAATGTTAGTTTTATCCATGTTGTTCATTTAGCTTTATCCACATTTAATATATTTTCATATAGCTTGCCTTTCTTGTATTTCATTTCCTTTTTCATTACTAATTTAATACAAAAGATTTATGAAAATTTTCTTGAGAAAAACCTAATTTATTTAATATGAAATTCTTTATTTTAAAATATTGCTAGATCAATTTTGATGATACATATTCATTGTTCTCTGGTAGTTTGTTCTAAAATATTTATTTAAAAACACAGACCTCTTTTCATAGGTTTGATCTTTTTATATTGAGAAAGGTCATGAAGTACTGACATGTCAGTTTCTATAATATAAAATTTTGAATAGGCTCAAATTTAATAAAATATATTTTAGATATGTTGTGATTACCCTAATTTATATTTTATTGTTTAACATTTATTGAGTACTAAGTAAGCATTCAATAGAGGCTACACAGAAACAAAAAAGTCTCATTTTACCTAATTTATTATAATGAAACACATAATGAGATATTAAACTTTTGAACTCTTTGATTTTTATTTAATCAAATGATTTTTATCTGAAAGCTACTACTATTATATTTGCTTTCATAAAAATGTATAAAGATGTATACAGTTTTTAAATTCCATCATTCTGTTTTTTTCTACATCTGCTGCATCTTGTTTTAGTTTAAAAATTAATGCCTTAGAGATTACCTACTGCTAATATGGATAGATTTTGCAAACTGAAATTGAACATGGACTTAATTCCAAATTGAAATTAAATATGGTCTTAATGGAACATTCTTTTTATCCATAAAAAGATTGGTCACATTTTTTCAGTTGACATTTAAGTGGATAATTATCACAGATTATAGTACTAAATAAGTCCTTTTTTAAAAAGTCAGACAGCAAAGATTTCTGAGATATTGGCAGTATTCTGTTTTTCGACCTCCATGGTAGTTACACTGGTTGACTCTAGTTAAACATTAAACTATACATATATGTTTTCCTTACTCTGTAATGTGTAGCTCTCATCTATAGAATTCTTAAAACAAGAGTGTTTTGTCTGGAGTCCTATATCAGATTATATTATTTGTAATCATTACAGTGCTCATCCTCATATGTCACTTTGCACATATTTTTAAAAAAAAGGAAACCTCGGCCGGCGCCGTGGCTCGCTAGGCTAATCCTCCGCCTTGCGGCGCCGGTACACCGGGTTCTAGTCCCTGTCAGGGCACCGGATTCTGTCCCGGTTGCCCCTCTTCCAGGCCAGCTCTCTGCTGTGGCCCGGGAGTGCAGTGGAGGATGGCCCAAGTGCTTGGGCCCTGGACCCCATGGGAGACCAGGAGAAGCACCTGGCTCCTGGCTTCGGATAGGCGTGGTGTGCCGACCGCAGTGCGCAGGCCGTGGCAGCCATTGGAGGGTGAACCAACGGCGAAGGAAGACATTTCTCTCTGTCTCTCTCTCTCATTGTCCACTCTGCCTGTCAAAAAAAAAAAAAAAAAGAAACTTGACTCATGAAGTGACATGTTTAAATAAATAATAAATATAACTTATAAAATTATTTAAGTTCCAGAGAAAGTCAATTTCTATTAATAACTCCTACTCTTTGAATATTACACAAATTACGTAAAGTGTAAATAACATTTTCAAGGACATGTTAGGTGCTACTCACTTCCCATCACAATAAATAAAAAATCCAAAACTTCTGTCATTTTCTACTACTTGTCCTGTGTTTACACTACATTGGCCATTCTTGTCTTTGGGGAAGGAACCAACAGATGGAAGAGCGCTTGCACTCTTACTCTCTGTCTTTCAAATAAATAAACATATAAGCATTTTTTATTTTTTTACTTATTTAATTTTTTTGACAGGCAGAGTGGACAGTGAGAGAGAGAGACAGAGAGAAAGGTCTTCCTTTGCTGTTGGTTCACCCTCCAATGGCTGCTGCGGCCAGCACGCTGCGGCCAGTGCACCGCGCTGATCCGAAGCCAGGAGCCAGGTGCTCTCCTGGTCTCCCATGTGGGTGCAGGGCCCAAGGACTTGGGCCATCCTCCACTACCTTCCCAGGCCACAGGAAGAGAGCTGGCCTGGAAGAGGGGCAACCGGGACAGAATCCGGTGACCTGACTGGGGCTAGAACCCGGTGTGCCAGCGCCGCAGGCGGAGGATTAGCCTATTGAGCCGTGGCGCCGGCCCATAGAAGCATTTTTTAAAAAATCTGCATTTTCCAAAAACTTTTTGAAGCCCACAGTATGTTTTCCCTCTTCCTGTTCTCCACACTGACCAAAATGGGGTGATTTCTTTCAACTCTTCAGTTTTAGAGGGGTGTGTGTGTGTGATATCAATTAAATATTACATTTATGTGATTATGTGTGTATCATTGTATTACTGCCCTCTCTCGACCCTTAGCAAAATTTTTTTAAAGATTTATTTATTTTATTTGAAAGCCAGAGTTACAGACAAGCAGGTAGAGGCAGAGGCAGAGGCAGAGGTGGGGGCAGGGGAGAGAGAGAGATCTTCCATCCACCGGTTCACTCCCCAGATGGCCAAAACAGCCAGAGTTGTGCTGCTCACACATGGGTGCAGGGGCCCAAGGACTTGGGCCATCTTCTACTGCTTTCCCAGGCCATAGCAGAGAGCTGGATGGGAAGTGGAGCAGCCAGGACTTGAACCGGGGCAAATATGGGATGCCGCACTACAGGTTGTGGCTTTACCTGCTATGCTACAGTGCTGATCTTGCATTTTTCTGAAGATGACAGTCTTCTCTCCCTTACTGTTGGGGCATATGTTCCAGGACCCCCCCAATGGATGCCTGTTTACTATGATACCTCCCCCTTATCCACAACTGCCTTTCCATAGTTTGAGTTTCCTGCAGTCAACCACGGCCAGAAATATTACTTGGAAAATTCCAGAAATAAACAGTTGATAAGCTTGCATGCCCTTCTGAATAGTATGATGAAATGTCACACCATGCTGCTCCTTCCTGGCCCAGGACTTGAGTCATCCCTTTGTTAACATACCCATGCCATATACACTACCTGCCTGTTAGTCACTTACTGGCTATGGTTGTCAAATAGGCTGTCACAGTGTCACAATGCTTGTGTTCAAGTAAACCTCATTTTGTTAATAAGGGCCCCAAAACAAAAATAATGGTTCTGGCAATTGTATTACAGTGTATAGTTATAATTGTTTTAGTTTATTGTTAGTTATTGTTAATATCTTTTCTTGTGACTAATTTATAAATTACATTTTATCGTCTTCATATATGTATAGGTTAAAGTCTCCAGAGTCTTGAGAGATCTTGGAACATAGTATCCAAGGATAAGGAGGGGACTATTGTATGGTCCGTTTTAGGTTTTTGTTTGTTTGTTTTTCATTTTATTTGAAAGGCAGAGAGACAGATCTTCTGTCCACTGGACCACTCCATAAATGCCCTGTGTCATCCAGGGATGGGCTAGGCTGAAGCCAGGAGCCTAGAAGTGCCCTCTGCTTCTCCTATGTGGGGGTGGCAGGGACTCAAGCACTTGAGCTATCATCTGCTGCCGTCCCCTGCCCCACAATGTGCACATCAGCAACAAGCTGGAATCCAAAGCAGAGGAATTGACACCTGAACCAGATACTGGACATGGGATGCAGTTGTCCCCAAGCAGCTACTTAACTGCTGCATCAAATACTTGCCCCATACTGTGTCTTGTGCATGTATATATAATTTTAATGCCATTTTTATCATAATTAAGTACTCAACAAGCACTGTGGCTACAACTTTTTGCAGTTTGAGGTGCAACAATAGAACTAGCATTAATTTTTTTGTTCTTTATAATTTCATGTGTAGATTTAGTCTTACCATTGATCTTAGTAATCTCTCAATACATTTTTTTTTTCTTATTGAGAACTTTTACGGTAAAGAAAGCACTTTATTCGTTTCTCTTTGGCTTATCCAAATTGCTAGCATTATTGCTCTTGAGCGTTGGAGCCATTATTAAATAAAATAAAGGTTGCTTGACCACAAGCAATGTCATACCGTAGCAGACAGTCTGATAACTGAGACAACTAAGTGACTGATGGGTAGCCAGCACATAGAGCATAGATACTTAGGACAAAGGGATGATTCATGTCTCAGGTGGAACAAAGCAGGACAGTGTGAAATTTCATCACTCTCTCACAGCAGCATGCTGTTTTAAACTTAGGAACTGCTCATTTCTAGAATTTTTCCACATAGTTTTGTTGTTGTTGTTGTTGTTTTGTTTGTGACAGACAGAGTTAAACAGTGAGAGAGAGAGAGAGAGACAGAGAAAGATCTTCCTTCTGTTGGTTCACCCCTCAAATAGCTGCCACAGCCGGCACACTGCGCCAATCTGAAGCCAGGAGCCAGGTGCCTCCTCCTGGTCTCCCATGCGGGTGCAGGGCCCAAGCACTTGGGCCATCCTACACTGCCTTCCCAGGCCACAGCAGAGAGCTGGCCTGGAAGAGGAGCAGCTGGAATAGAATCCGGTGCTCCAGCTGAGACTAGAACCCAGAGTGCTGGCGCCACAGGCGGAGGATTAGTCAAGTGAGCCACGGCACAGTACGACATAGTATTTGAACCACAATTAACCATGGGTGACTAAAACCATGTAAAGCAGAACTGCAGATAAGGTGTGACTACTGTAT